TTTTATTTTACTCTCTCACAGCATCTTGGAAGAGTTACAGTAAAAATAAAATGCTGATGTCCCCTCTCTCCCCAGAACCTGCCTGTGTCTCCGTCTAGTCAACTTTCCATTTCAGTGGGGGAATGAAGCTATTTGTCAGTACCAATGTCAAGAATGAATGCAATTCGAATTCCCCAGCCATTTATTTCAACAATTCTCTATTCCACAGCTGAAATAACTTAACATAAGAAATAGCTGTTCGCTCAGTGTAAAACTTGCAAACCTGGTTCCACAAGGCATAGTTCTAAAAAAATAATAATAATGAATCTGGAAGGGCTGCTGGGTAAGACGTTCCATCCATCTTGGTGCAATGGTAATGCCCACATCCATCGGAGCATTTCCCTCCACTGTCCTAGGCTCCCAGAAACATCCCACGGGGCCAATCTCTTCACTTCCCTCTTCATTGCCATCATTATAATTGCTGCCATTTCCTCATAAACATTCACGATTCATCATCTTTCCTCTTTAAACTTGATGTGTTGATGACACCCAAATGGCCCTGAATGTGAAACCCTCAATGACTGAGACATCAAGAAAAATGAGAAAGAATGATAAAATTTTTCATTTCACCCCTGACAAGTCCCTGGTGCAGACAGCTACAGCACACACACCTGAGCCGCAGGAACATGGCTTTGTGCGGATGATGGAGTGGCAAGGAGGCTCCCGGGAATCCTGTTGATAGCCTTGTGTGTTCCACGTCTGTCATGTTTGGAAGGATTTCTCCTTCTTCACCAAATTTCTCCCCGCCTCTTCCACCCTAACCAGGGAGAGTTTGAAAATGTAGAGGCCCAAGAGCCTTAAAAATGTTGTCCAGTGAAAAAACGAATTTTTAGCTTCTCATTAAAAATAAGAGCCTGGGGTAGGGGGTGGGGGGAGGCTAGATGAGGTCCATGAGCGGGAAGGGGGGGGGGGAAGGGGGGCTTATATACTTTCAACGATAAAGATTAAAAAAAAAGAAAAGGAAAAACATTAAAATAATAATAAAAATAAGAGCAAACATTTATATATTATACAGTACTTACTATGTACCAGATTCTAAGGTATTTTACATGTATTAACTTGCTTAGCTCTCATTTAAATCCTATGTAGTAAATGTTACCAATATCCCCATATTAGAAAACTGAGGTTTGGTGGCCTAACCAAAGGCTCAGAGTTTTCAGCTGGTGGCACTGAAACTGGACCTTAGGTAAGACCCTGTGCTCTTAGCCTGCACTCTAAGTCTCCTCTCTCAAAACCGCCAGACAGTAGGCTATTATTCAGTGCTAAAAATACATGAGTTATCAAGCCACAACAAGGTCTGGAGGAAACGTAACTATATTACTAGGTGAACAAAGCCAATCTGAAAAGGCTACATACTGTATGATTTCAACGACGTGACACTCTGGACATGGCAACACTATGAGGGACAATAAGAAGACCAGTGGTTGCCAGTGGGGATGTGGAGGTCACTGAAACTCTTCTGTATAATACTTTAATGGTGGTTGTGTGTCAGTGCACATTTATCAAAACCATTAAAAATGAACACAGAGAGTGAGCCCTAATGTCAACTATGGACTTTCAGTGATGATACTGTATCCATGAAGGTTAATCAATTACAACACATGTACAGGATGTTGGTGGTAGGGAAGGCTGTGCATGTGTGGGTGCAGAGAGGATAAGGGAACTTTCTGCTCAATTTTTCTGTGAACCTAAAACTACTCTAAAATATTAAGTCTAGCCCTAGCTGGTTTGGCTCAGTGGATAGAGCGTCGGCCTGTGGACTGAAGGGTCCCGGGTTCGATTCCAGTCAAGGGCACATGCCTGGATTGAGGGCTAGAAACCCAATAGGGGGTGTGCAGGAGACAGCCGATCAATGATTCTCTTTCATTATTGATGTTTCTATCTCTCTCCCTCTCCCTTCCTCTCTGAAATCAATTTAAAAAAATATTAAGTCAAACCAGAAGCCCCCACAGAGTTGCTGCTGCCAAAGTCCTGGCTCCTGAGTGATTACCTTATGACCAGAAGTGAAGCAGCAAAGGGTCACAATACACCGTAAAAATGTTTTCAACAATCGTTTATCTACTACGTTACTAAACAGTTACTGAGGCACTGGACTAAGCTCTAAGGGCCTAAACTTAATTCAACCCTGACCCTGGTCCTGCGTAGCTCACAGTGTAGCGGGAGAGGCAGATCTGCAAACAATTGTACTAAGTAGCAGTGCCTCAATGCAGTAAATGTAAATTGCTCTGGGAGCCCAGGGAGAGAGGAAAATTAGCCTGGAGGAGACTTCTGGCTAATACTCAGTGAAAACAGAGCTCAGTGAACCATTATTCATTGGTACCTTTACAGGCCTGTGCATTAAGTGACAATTCGGCTGGGCATTGTACCAGAAAACAGGAAAACAATAGTGAGCCAGATGACAAAGCTCCAATTAGTGAGGAAGATTACAGTTTAAAAGCCCCTATTTTAATTACTGGAGGACATGATTTTTAAGCTGAACCAGGAAACCCTTTCCAACAAGAGCAATTCCTAAGAAAAAAAATATTTTATGTTCAAATCACAGACTACTAACATCAAGGAGAACTTTAACGGTGTTCTGTGACTTACAATGGCCCTCAAATCTAGTTACACATTAGCACCACACGGCAACCTTTGAGTGAACATCAATACCCACATTTTAAGCAGACCAATGAATTCAGAATATCTGGCAATTGCAAGTAGGTATAGGTGGTTTTTAAAACTCCCCCAAGTGATTCTGGTGAATAGTGAGGGTTGAAAATGCCTACTGACCTAATCTTGTCTTTTTATTGATTACGAACCCGTATCACCAGGTTGAGGTCAAGATTACAGAGCTAGTCAACATGACAAAATCCATGATCCACCATACAACTTAAGAACTACAACATTACCAATAGCTTGTACGTATCTACACAATCTTCCAAGTCCCGTTCCCACAACTAATAATCACTACCCTGAATTGTATGATTGCCTTTTTTGTTAGTTTATGCCATAGGTAGGTACTGTTTACCTAAATAACACAGTGATGTAGGTTGGTCTTGAACTCCATAAAGAGGGTATTTACCACATGTAGTCTTAGGACCTAGATAATCAAAGTTTAATCTTTGGACAGAAGCAGAAGCATCACCCAAAATCTTGTTGGAAATGCATAACCTGGGGCACTAGCTCAGATTTGCTAAATGAAGATCTTCATTTTAGCAAGAAACCCACGTGTTCAGGTTTCATAAGCACTGATCTAAAGACTTGGTTTGTCACTTAGACTTATCTAAGTTGTTATACATGTAGGTGTGGTTCTGTGAATGAGCACTTAGGATGTTTCCAGGGATTTTTTTTACATTATGAAAAATACATCCATGTATTTTTTTAAATATTTTTTATTGATTTTTTACAGAGAGGAAGGGAGAGAGATAGAGAGTTAGAAACACCGATGAGAGAGAAACATCGATCAGCTGCCTCCTGCACATCTCCCACTGGTGATGTGCCCGCAACCCAGGTACATGCCGTTGCCCGGAATCTAACCTGGGACCTTTCAGTCCGCAGGCCAACGCTCAATCCACTGAGCCAAACCGGTTTTGGCATACATCCATGTATTTTTGAACAATCTTGTATGTCTCCTAGTGCACCGGTGAAGAGTTTTTGTAGGATACATATCTAAAAGTGAAATTTATGGAAAATAAACTACAGAAAAGTTCAATTTCACAATACCAAATTATTTTCCAAAGTATTTTGAATTTCACATACCCACCAAAGTGGGTAAGACTAATTCTCTTGATTTTGATTTTTCTGATTACTTGTTAGTAATAAGTTTAAAAATAATTTTAAATGCTTTCTCACCATATTTTCTTTTCTGTAGACTGCCTATTTATTTATTTTACCAGTTTGTTCATCAGGTTAGTTGGGTGTTTTCTTATTGTTTGTAGTTTTAAAAAATATTTAGAGATATAAATGTTTTCAATTACAATGTATTGCAAATAACTTCTGCTCATATATAGCTCTTTATTCTCTTCATCATGACTTATGATATACAGAAATCCTAAGTTCTACTGTAAGAAATTCATCAATTCTTCTACCTTGATGAGTGGTTTTTGTCTATTTTAAGAAATATTTCTCTACCCTGAGGTCTGAAATATATTCGCCCACATTTTCTTCGAACAGTTTTAAAGTTTTTCTTTTCTATTTAAGTCCCTGATCCATCTGGAATTGATTTTTGTGCTTTTTGTACAGTAGATATCTGATGTTATTTTCTTGCTGTGGAAAATCAATGATCCCATAACCATTATTGAATAGTCCCTCCTTCCCTCTACTTGATCTGAAAGCTTCTTGGGCCATATGTATTCATCAATGTCTTTCAGGACTCTGTCTTCTTTCATTGGACAATTTGTCTATCCTGGCACCAATAGCACAGAATCTTAATCACCACGAATTTTTAGTAATACTTGATATCTGGAAGGGCAAGTCCTTTCACCTTACTCGTCTTCTCCTTTAGTATTGTGGCTATCCTTGACCCTTTTAATTTCAATATAAATTATAGAATCAATCTGTCATGCTCCACTCAAAACACTGCTGAAATTTTTATTGGAATTGCATTACAAATCCATTTGAGGAGAATGGATACCTTTGGAGTATTGAGGATTTCTTCCCATGAGTTGATCTGTACATGTTTATGGAGATTGTGCAAATATGTGTTGTTGGATTTTAAAATATATTTTATGTTTATGTGAATGGTATTAAGGCATAAATCAATTATTTCCTTAGCACTACGTGGTAATTCGGGGGCTTAAAATGAGAACATTTTCTCATAGTGCTGTCGTGGCGTCTCCCGAACACCAGGGGGCGCCGAGCAGCGCCGCGCCTCCGGG